ATTTTTTTTTGCTTTTCTTATCATTATCATTCTTTTAGTTCCTACTTTCGCTTCTTATCATATTTTCTCTCTTCCTCTTCTTATTTTTCTTGCCTCCTAATTTTTTCTTCATGCCTAAATACCCTTTTAAAGACCACATTGTACCTAGTTTCGCTCGTACCAGATCCCAAATGGTAATCTTTTACCCTCTAATATCAGATACCAGTTTTTATTATTTTCTCCTATTCCTCTTCCTCAATACCTAAATATCACTTAAAACTAGCCTCAAATCCTGATAACCACACACGCCTTCTCGGCTCTTTCAAAATATGCCCCTCTCTCCTTTCTTCTCCCTCCCCTCCATCACCATCTTCCTCTTCCTCCCCCCTCTGCTCCCCCTCCCCCTCCCTCCTCCTCCATCCCTCCCCTCCTCTTCCTCCCTTATTCTCCTTCCCCTCCCCTCCCTTCCCTCCTACCACCCTCCCTCCTCCTCTCCTCACTCCCTCCCACACACACCACCATGACCCCACCCTCTCCCTTTCCAGATACTAACGTCGTGCTGTTGTCTGGGGATCAGCTGACTCGACAACGAAACAGGGACCCAGGCACTCCTTTGTTACGTCGCGTGATTTCCCTGACGTCGAGTCTCGTGGCGCGCTACCTCATGTACCTCGACGCCAAACCACACGGCCTTATGTGGAATACTTCAAGGTGGCTGGGTGGTGGTTGTATGTTATTGAGGTGGTGGTGGGTGGGGGGGATGGTGGTGGAGGTGGTGGTGAACTGCTGTTGTTGGTGGTGGTGGTGGAGGTGTTGGTTGTTGCTTGTGCTACTGTTGTTGCAACTGTGTTGTTGCTACTGTTGTGTTGCTACTGTTGTTGTACTTGTTGTTGCTTACTGTGTTGTTGTTGTACTGTTGTGTTGCCTGTTGTTGTTGCTACTGTTGTTGTTGTTGCTACTGTTGCTGTTGCTTACTGTTGGTTGTTGCTACTGTTGTTTCTTGTACTGTTGTGTTGCTACTGTTGTTGTTGTTCTTGTTGTTGTTGGTAGTTAAAGTATTGTTACTGTTGTTCTCGTTACTGTTAGTCTCATATCGGTTGTCTTATTATTGTTGTTATAATCATTGTTCTTAATATTGGTGTTGTTATTGTTATTATTATAATTGTTATTATTATCATTGTTGTTATTGGTAGTGGTGTCTAAGGTACTGTTATTATTATTGTTGTTGTTATAGTTAATCATTGCTATTAATATTATCATTATTGCTTTTATTATCATTGTTATTATTGTTATCATCATTATTGTGTGTTGTACTTATGTTATATATGCATGTATGTGTTTTTTTACCATTTTCGATATTAATAATGATGATTATCGTGACCAGTAAATGAATTGCGGTAAAAGAAAGAAAGAGAGAAGAAAAGAAAGAAAGAAAGAAAGAAAGAAAAAACAAAGAAAGAAAGAAAGAGAGAAAGAGAAAGAAGTAAAGAAGAAAGAAAGAAGAGAGAAAGAAAGAAGGAAGAAAGAAGGAAAGAAAGAAAGAAAGAAGGAAAGAAAGAAGGAGAGAAAGAAGAAAGAGGAAGGAGGAAAGAAGAAAAGAAAGAAAGAAAAAAAGGAGTACAGAAAGGAAAGAGAAAAAAAAAAAAAAAATATATATATATATATATATATATAATATATATATATTATATATTATTTATACATATATATTTTTCTTCTTTCTTCTTCTTCTTCTTCTTCTTTCTTTTTTCTTTTCTTTTTTTTTCTCTCTCTCAACAACCAAAATCCTTCTACCCCCCCCTGCTTCCCCCATTCCAGCTGGAAGGCCGAGCAGCAGGTGGCGACCGGCTGGTCCGCCTCGGCTCGGCCCTGGTGTGACCTTTGCCAGCGCCTGCACACTGACCTCGAGCCGAAGACCTACGATGACCTTGACCTTTGGTTCGTGAATGGGTCCGCGTGCCAGTCGGGCCTCGTCAGGTGACCTCGCTCGCTTCGTCCATGGCGAGAGAGTGTGAGGGAGAGGGAGGGGAGGGGGGGGGAGGTCCTCACCTCCACCTCCATCACCACCTGGAGTAGAGGATAAATAAATAAATATATATTATATATTATATATATATATATATATATATATATATATATATATATATATATATATATACATATACACAAACAAAACTTGCAGTCGCCTGTAAACTGAACTAATCTCCTATTCAACATTTTTGGTGTAATATTCTTCATGAGTATTCTTTAAGCCAGCATTTTATCAATTAATTAGGAATCAGCATTTATTATTAATGCAGCATTTTATTAATTAATTAGGAATCAGCATTTTAATTAATTAAGAGCATGGAATCAGCATTTTATCAGCATTTTATTAATTAATTAGGAATAGATGAAGTTCTTTACTCTACAGTACGCAAAGTTACATTTAATATAAGCATTTTCTGTAACTGGCAAAACGTCTAGATTTATTTATGTTTACTTCAGTAGTTATCGCTCATCAATGAATATGAATGATAATGATGATAATAATGAAATGAATGAATAGGAGTATACAGATGAAAAATAAATAAAAATAAAGATGTAGATGAAAGATGGAGAACGTGTGAGTAAAGAAAAAAAAAGAATCTCAAGGGAATTATCGAAAATAAAATAAAGAAGTCACGTTACAATTTTTTTTCTTCCTTTTTAATAAGAGATAAAAAAAAAGAATCAACAAAAATATGCTCAGCGGAATTATGATATATTTTGCGATACGAAAAAATAACGAAATGACTGCGGTTATTCATAAAAAAAAAATTAGACTGTAAGTGAACCCAAAGACAATGCAAAACAAATCAAAACAAATATAGAATTATTCGCATTGCTAACAATAAGGATGATAATGACATCAATCAGAACAAGATAATGACATTTACGAACAGTTCTGATCAATTAAGAATAATAAATATCCACACTACAGCATCAACAACAACAACAACAAAAATACCACCAACAACAAAAGAAAAAAATAACAACAATAATTAAAGCAAAAAAAAATACATTCCCAACAAAACAGAAGATCATGATGCCGGAGCCGAGGTCCTGCACATCTAATACAAAACAAAATGGTTGAAAATAGTAATAAACCAAAACCTGCGCTAAATAATAAACCTTTTTTTCATTCAACATGTATAAGTACGCACAAAAAGAAAAGAAAATAACTGCAAGGAAGATTTAAAACCGTGATAAACATGAATAGAAAGTATGAAGATTTCAGATCTAGTTCAGCGGGCTACTTGCCTAGGAAAAAAAAAAAAAATAAATAAATTAATAAAAAACAATATAATAATAATGATGATGATTATATAATAATAGATGATAATAATAATAATAATATAATAATAATAATAAATAATAATAATAATAATAATAATAATAATAATATAATAATAATAATAATAAATAATAATAATAACAATAATAATAATAATAATAATAATAATAAATAAATAATAATAATAATAATAATAATAATAATAATAAATAATAATATAATAATAATATAATAATAATAATAACAATAAACAATAATAATAATAATAATAATATATGATAATAATAATAATAATAATAACAATATAATAATATAATAATAATAATAATAATATAATAATAATATAATAAATAATAATAATAATAATAATAATAATAATAATAATAATAATATAATATAATAAATAATAATAATAATAATAATAATAATAATAATAATAATAATAATAATAATAATAATAATAACAATAATAAAATTATGATGATAATATAATAACAACAATAATAAATAATATAATGAATAATAATAATAATAATAATAATAATAATATAATAATAATAATAATAATAATATAATAATAATAATAATAAATATAATAAAATAATAATAATAATAATAAATAAATAATAATAAAATTAATAATTAATAATAATAAAAAATAAAATTAATTATTAATCATCATCATCATCATCATCATAAAATAATAATAATAAAATAACAACAACAACAATAATAATAAGAAGAAGAATATTTGTTTCAATGTATTCTTTTGCTCAATAATCTGTTCACATAATATTGACCTCCAGTATGTTGTATAAACCAACATACCGCAACCACATCCTTCGTTACAATATGATTCTTTCGTTATTTATAGACAATCGGTCTTTTTGTTAAAATTATACGATTCCCGACCCAATTCATTATCCATATACGGGCATGCATAGACACAAAGATAAATACAAATACATGTCTATCAGTCTAAACATGCATATCTCATGATAGATAAATGTATATCTATCTATTAGACAGACAGACAGATATGCGTTTATTTCTGTGTATATGCATGTTCGCATTTAGGAATTGTCATTGGGCCTCGAGCTATTTTAACAAACTACCTGAATATCAATAGTTATAATCACAATAAAGATAATAAACAAATACTAATGGTAATAGAAATAACAATGACAATGAAAATGATAATTGTGGAAAATTAGTAACGAAATTCCTATACCTGATACACACACACAAAAGAAAAAATTTCGGATTACACCCATTTTTCTGACAGAGAAAGACAAGGTACTTCTGCAATGGCGGCGCCATAGCTGGAACGGGAAGTAGTAAAGAGACCCACAAGATGTTTTGGGGGGAAAATATGACAGTTCTTTTAGACTTTTACGTTTTCCAAAGTTCTGCGTTGTGTGAATCGACAGCCTCGTCTCCTTTGCGCTGAAATAATAGCTAATTCTAGCAGCTTTTAGCGATTCGAATAAAACGGCTCGCAACAATTGTCAATACGTTACCATCAGACAAGTACTAACTTTGTCGGCCTTGTGGATCTAAACAGTAGCACACTTGCACCGTAAATCATACCAATTCCTTCCTACAACTTTTGACAACCTGAATTCAGCACACTTGTCAGTTTTGCATAACAAAAGAAATCAACTGTTGCCAGGTCGTTTTTTCCTAATTTTCCTTCGCCCCAAAGAGGTCGTCGAGCTCACAGTGCTTCGAGAGCTCCTGGCATCGAAACATCTTCCTTTTTTCGTTGCTTCCTCTCGTTCGGTAAGGATTTTGATTCAGGGAACTGCTTGGTCATCTATTTACGTGTTTTTTAAGAGAATTTGGGTATGGTATGACTTGTGTGAATTTACGCTAATGGTGTGTTTTGTTCACTCTCTCTTGGTTAAGATTTTGACTAAGGGAATTCTGTGGTTTTATTTCCTTGTATTGAGATAAATTGGTGTCTCTGTATTTCCATGTATTTTGTTTTATTTGTATAACTTGGGTATTTTTTTTTTTTTTTTTTTAATTTTTGTAACTTCCACCACTCCGTTGCTTGTTCTATTTCAGCAAGAATTTATGATTGAGCGAATTGTATGTTTGATAAATAGATATTTAGATGTATTGAGAAAAAAAGGTGTAATCTAATTTTTTTTCCCTCTTTTTGTGTATGTGTTTCAGGTAAAGGAATTTCGTTACTTATTTTCCATAATTATTATTAATATTGCCATTGTTATCTTTATTACCATTACTGTTCTTATTATCATTCTGAACTATGTATATTTCCAACTTGGGTTTTGTTTTTTTCTCACCATATTTCGGTACCACAGACCATCTTACGCAGACCCCATCATATTTTCGTTAAATATGTCGCATATCCCAGTCCTTGTAGTTAAGTTCAAAATTCACTCTTATGGATAATGTATTGAATACAAAAAGATATGCTGCTTATTGAAGACGAAGAAAATGTAGGAGTTTAATATGGAAATATGGTATTAACATGATTTTATCTTCTGATTTGGTTATTATAGTTTAGTATGCTTATATGATAACCATTTTCTATCTATTTCTCTCTCTCACTCTCTGTCTATCTATCTATTTCTCTCCGTCTCCCTCTCCCTCTCTCTCTCTCTCTCTCTCTCTCTCTCTCTCTCTCTCTCTCTCTCTCTCTCTCTCTCTCTCTCTCTATCTTTCTCTCTCTCTCTCTCTCTCTCTCCTCTCTTCCTCACCCTCTCTCTCTCTCTCTCTCTCCTCTCTCTCTCTCTCTCTCTCTCTCTCTCTCTCTCTCTCTCTCTCTCCCTCCTCTCCCTCCCTCTCTCCTCTCTCTCTTCTCTCTCTCTCTCTCTCTCTCTCTCTCTCCTCTCTCTCTCTCTCTCTCTCTCTCTCTCTCTCTCTCTCTCCTCTCCCTCCCTCTCTCCCTCTCTCTCTCTCTCTATCTCTCTCTCTCTCTCTCTCCTCCCTCTCTCTCTCTCTCTCTCTCTCTCTCTCTCTCTCTCTCTCTCTCTCTCTCTCTCTCTCTCTCTCTCCCTCCCTCCCTTCCCTCCCTCCTCCCTCCCTCCCTCTCTCTCTCTCTTCTCTCTCTCTCTCTCTCTCTCTCTCCCTCCCTCCCTCTCTCTCTCTCTCTCTCTCTCTCTCTCTCTCTCTCTCTCTCTCTCTCTCCCTCCCTCTCCCTCCCTCCCTTCTCCCTCTCTCTCTCTCTCTCTCTCTCTCTCTCTCTCTCTCTCTCTCTCTCTCTCTCTCTCTCTCTCCTCTCTCTCCCTCTCTCCCTCTCCTTCCCTCTTCTCCCTCTCCCTCTCCCTCCCTCTCTCTCTCTCTCTCTCTCTCTCTCTCTCTCTCTCTCCTTTATGTGACGCCGCCTCTTTTGCGATATTTTCTTTTCATGTACTTTCACCACCAACATCATCATCACGTTTCGTATTTCTATACTTCATATGAATGGAGTTTTGCTGCTGTCCTTTCACAGCATAGTTGTCATACTAGACTTACTGTCATACTCTTTTTTTTTTGTCAAAAACGATTTTGATTCTTGTCAATAATTACGTTTCGTTTATTCTTGCCGCCAACATCATCATGTTTCATATTTCTATATTTGATGTTCTTTTCCAGCATGATTATCATACTATATTTACTGTCATACTTCTTTTCTTTTTTTTTTTTTTGTCAAAGACGATTTTGATTTTCGTCACCAATTACGCTTCAGTTATTTTTACCACCAATATCACATTTCATATTTCTATATTTCGTATTAATGGAGCTTTTTCTGCTGTTGTATCCCACCATAATCATCATTACTATCATGTTTTTTTTTTTTTTTTTTTTTTTTTTTTTGAAAAGACGATTTTGATTCTTGCCACAAATTACGTTTTGTTTATTTTTACCATTTACTACCACCACCATCATCACATTTCGTATTTCTATATTTCATATCAATGGAGTTTTCTTGTTTTTTCTTACCATAATTATCATACTAGACTTATCATACTCTTTTTTTGTCAAAGACGATTTTGATTTACGTTACAAATTACGTTTTAGTTATAATAATAATTATTATTATTATTTCAGTTTTAGTTACCACTAGCACCATTACATTTCATATTTCTATATTCATATCAATGGATCTTTTTCTGCTGTTCTTTCCCACCATAATTATCATCACTATCATGTTTTTGTTGTTTTTTCGTCTAATTTTACCACTAGCACCATTACATTTCATATTTCTATATTCATATCAATGAATCTTTTCTACTGTTCTTCCCACCATAATTATCATCACTATCATGTTTTTCTGTTTTTTTCGTCTATTTTTACCAACATCATTATCACATTTCGTAT